TTCAGGTTTTTGCTTTCAAATCTCTACATAATGCTACTCCCACCTATCTATTCTCCCTAATACACAAGTATGTCCTATCTAGGCCCTTACGCTCTGCTAAAGACTTAGGTCTATCTTCTGTCCGTACTCTCATCTCTGATGCTCGCTTTCAATACTTCTCGAAGACTGCCCTGTTCCTGTGGAACTCACTTCCTTCCTCCGTTAGATGCTCACCTAGTCTCCACTCCTTCAAAAAAATAATTAAAAATCGACTTCTTCATAAAAGCGTATAAATTAAACTGTTACTAGCTCCCGACTGATTACTCTCTTGCAACTGTCATTAGTCTAATACTATCCTTACCTTTTGTGTCACTTTACCCCACTCCCTCTAGAATGTAAGCGCATTGAACAGGGCCCTCAACCCCTCTGTTTCTGTGTGTCCAACTTGTCTTGTTACAACTACATGTTTGTTTGTCCACCCACTGTAAAGCGCTTCAGAATTTGTTGGCGCTATATAAATAATAATATAATAATAAAAATCTGTATGTGTATCAATGTTTGCATCTGTGTGTCTGTATCTCTATGTGTATGCGTGTCAGTGTTTGTATTTGTGTGTCTGTAAATGAATGTGTGTCTCTGTTTGTATCTGTGTGTCTGTATCTGTATTTGTGTCAGTGTTCTTATCTGTGTATCTGTATCTGTGTCAGTGTTTGTATCTTTGTGTCTGTATCTGTATTTGTGTCAGTGTCTGTATCTGTGTTTCTGTAAATCTGCATGTGTGCCAGTGTGTGTATCAGTGTGTCAGTGCAACTGTATATGTGGCAGTGTTTGTATCTGTACCTGTGCATCTGCCTGTGTGTCAGTATTTGGAGGATTGGAGAAAGGCGGATGTGGTTCCTGTATTCAAAAAGGGTTCAAAATCCTTGCCTGGAAATTATAGACCTGTGAGCTTAACTTCTGTGGCTGGGAATGTATTTGAAAGGTTATTAAGGGATAATATTCAAGGATTCCTTAGAAGAACGTGGTTATCAGCAAATATCAGCATGGTTTTATGAAGCACATGTCATGTAAAGCTAACTTGTTTGCATTGTACAAAGAAGTAGGTAAAAGTATAGATCAGGATGTTGCAATGGATGTGATCTATTTGGATTTTGCCAAGGCATTTGATACAGTTCCACACAATTAATTAGTGTTAAAACTCAAAGAAATTGCTCTAGATGAAAATTCTTGTTCGTGGGTAGAACATTGGCTTAAAAATAGAGTACAGAGAGTTGTCTTAATGGTACATTTTCAAGCTGGACAGAGGTGGCAAGTGATGTCCCTCAGGGTTCTGTTCTGGGACCTTTTCTATTTAACATGTTTATAAATGATCTTGAAAAAAGCATTGAAAGTGATGTTTCAGTGTTTGCAGATGACACAAAACTCTGTAAAGTAATACAATGTGAGCAATGATATTACTTTTCTGCAGAGGGATTTAGATAGACTGGGGGACAAGGCACTCAAATGCAAGATGACATTTAATGTCGAAAAATGCAAACTTATGCACTTCGGAGTAAAGAACACACGAGAAGGACTTGTGAATTGTTATAGACAACAAATTATACAACAATGTGCAATGTCAATCAGCAGTGGCTAAGGCCAGATATTGTCATGCACGAAAAAGGGCATTAGTTCCCGGGATGAGAATATCATTTTGCCTCTTTATAAATCCCTGGGAAAACCACATCTTGAATATTCTGTGCAATTTTGAGCACCTGTTCTAAAGAAGAATATTATGGCACTAGAAAGGGTGCAGAGATGGGCTACAAATTTGATAAAAGGATAGGAACATTTTATCTCTGAAGAAAGATTAACACATTTAAACCTCTTTAGTTTAGGAAAACGTTGCCTCAGAGGGGATATGATAACATTATACAGATATATCCAGGGCCAATACAAATCATTGTATGGTAATCTATTCACAAACTGAACTTTACATAGGAAAACAGGGTAATTTGTTTAGACTGGAAGAAAGAAGATTTAGTCTAAGGCAAAGGAAAGTTTTGTTTTACCATAATGATATGGAATTCTCTGCCCGAAGAAGTGATTTTATCAGAGTCCGTACAGATGTTTAAACAGCAACTAGATGCATACTTGCAAAAACAAAATGTTCAATGATATAATTAATGTAGGGTAATAGCTTCTTGATCGAAGGATAAATCTGACTGCCATTCTGAGGTCAAGAGGGAATTTTTTTCCCCTTGTTTTTGCAAAATTGGAAGTGCTTCAAACTGGGGGTTGCCTTCTTTTGGATCAACAGCTAAAAACAAATGTGAGGAAGGCTGAACTTGATGGACACATGTCTCTTTTCAGCCTATGTAACTATGTAACCAAGCATTCTGCTAGCATTTCTAGCTGCTCTATTATATTGTCTGCCTACCTTTAAGTAATTTGAAATAATTACCCCTAATTCCACTCCTCATATGTTGAGGTTAGGACTCAATATCAAATATTCTATACTCTACCCTTGGGTTTATATGCCCAAGATGCATTATCTCCCACTTATCCACATTAAATGTCAGTTGCCACAGTTTATCTAAATCAATTTCCATTTGGCTTATCTGTCCTGGAACATCAACCCTGTTGCAAATTTTTGTATCATCAGCAAAAAGATATACCTTACCATCAAGACCTTCTGCAATATCACTAATAAAAATGTTGAAGAGAATGGATCCAAGTAATGATCACTGAAGTAGCCCACTGGTAACAAGACTTTGCTTAGAAATTACTCAATTGACTACAATACTATGCTGCTTGTCATTCAGCCACTGCCTAACCCATTCAGTAATATTGGAATCCATACTCAAAGATTGCAGTTTGTTGCTAACCCTTCTACGAACGGTAGTATCAAAAGACTTACTGAAATCTAGTTAAGCAATGTCTACTGCACCAACTTAATCTATTATTTTAGTTACCCAATCAAAAAAATCAATAAGATCAGTTTGGCATGATCTAACTGAAGTAAACCCATGTTGTCTTGGATCTGGACACTGGATACACCCTGCCTCTACAAGGCATAATACCGGGTAACAATTATATGGCACAGACATATAGTCTCTGTTGAGATAAGATCTCTGCATGAGCTTTATTAAATACCTCTTTTTCTGACTCGTGCTCTAGTGGGGCAACAGTGAATAATGGAGCAGTTAAGGGTACATTAATTATTCTGAACAGTTTATTGATAAGTTGACATTTCTCCTTTCACCTTGTTCCCCATAAAAATATTTCTCCCTGTATTGAGTCGAAAATGGGATTATGTTTGGCCAACGCACAAAGAGGCTGGGGGTGTAATAGATACACGAAGTGTCTGGGGTATGCAATAGACACACAAATGAGTTGGTGGGGAAAAAAAGACACACAACTGGCCTGGGAGGGAAGATAGAGATGTGGAGTATGGATCATTATCATTTAATGTACAATATACATTGCATATGTATGGTATATATGTATATGGTATGGCATGGTATGGTATGGTTAATATATATTTATTATGGATATACATTTAACTGTATGAGATTGTCGGTCCCTCATCCCATCATCAGCAAGCATCCCTGGGAGTGGAGAAAGTTGGTCTCACTCCCCAGTTGCAGTGTACCAGGCAGGGAGAGGAGACAACCGGTCTCTCTCCCCAGCGGTGGTCAGAGTTACAAAGAGAGGATATGTTTGATCCCTCTCCCCAGCAGCAGTAAGCATCACTGGGAGTGGAGATAGTCATTCTCATTTCCCAGCAGCAGTATATCATGCAGGGAGAGGACACAACCGGTCTCTCCCCAGCGGCAGCCAGAGTTACCGGGAGTGGAGACAATCGGTCTCCCTCTCCAGCGGCAGAACGCAATCACAGCAGAGGAGCTAGCATCAGGGCAGAGCACTGCTGGTCTCTGTCCACAAGCCCCTGAGGTTTTTGGCATAGAAGGTGTGGATGGAACTGCAGACCCCACACCTGGATCACAGGGATGCTGGGCAGTCGGCACAGGTCCCCAACCACCTAGCATGGGAGCCCTAGCCACCCTGATATTGTCCCTTCAGCAGAGTGAGTGCAGCAGGCATCACTAGGAGTGGAGTTATCGTCCCCCAGCAACAACGTGGTGCCTGGAGTGGATTTTAGCAGTTGTCCTTCTCAGAAAGATACATAGCACATAACTATGTATATGAATAAACCAAGTGTACAATTCAGTAAAGAACAGCGAATAGATGGAGCCAGATTAGATACACAATAGAAATGGGGGGTAACCCCGAATAGAAAATAAAAGGAACAGAGGAGGGTGTATCTAATACATGATGCAAAATATATGCATCAAAATTCAAGGTAGCCAACGGATAGCCTGCTATATAGGCCAGATAAAGCCACTAAAATAAAAGAACAAAAATAATAAAGATTTATTGGACAAAACAAATATGTAACCCAAATATGTGCTACCATATAAACACCAAAACATTGAATCTTAAAATAGTTACTAGACGAATCTGTAAAAATAAATACAAGTCGTCTAAGTATAATAAAAGCAAAATGTAATTGCAGATCAAAATATGAAAAACTATTACTGTCAGTGGTGGCTGGTAATATACCAGGCTAAAAAAGCGGAGTACCAATCTGATAAATCGATAATCAATTATAGAGTCTAATACTTTAAATATCAATAATAGGCTTATGGACCATATAGGTCCTATCAAGAAATAAATACAGATCAGTATAAAGAGCTGTTGCTATCCATAGTGGCTGATAAAATGCCAAACTAAAAGACCAATCTGATGACTCAACGATTGATTATGAGGTCTGTCACTTTAAGTATCAATAATGTGCTATTGGACTATATAGGTCCTCTAAATATCTAAAACACTTGTATTAATAGATTAATATAGCCATAAATATCAGCAAAAGAGAAGATGGTTAAATAAACGTTGGGCTGATATCCAAACAGGTGTTAGAATGGCTAGAACTGTAATCTAAATAATGAAATTCCGCTTCTTAGCTAGATGTACAGGGTATATATATAAATCAGCATCAGCCTATAATAACTGAACCAACAGTAAAGCAAGCGTTAAGATATCTAAGAGGGAGAGGGTAGAAGAGAGAAACACGTGTAAATAGAGTCACAATGAACGGTGCTACAAAGTATCTTGTAAGAGTAGCACACAGTGTATACAGAAAGCTGTTAACCATATGAGGAAAAGTAATACCCTCTATAAATATGTGTCCCGTGCCTTCGAGGGCACCTAGCTCCAACCCCCCAGATATCTAATTGTCAAGGTAGATCTAGATAAGGTAGAATCTGCAAAAGTAATAAAAAATATATATGATAAATAAGAACATAGAGTATAAACAGCGCGGTCGCCAGTCTGTGCGCTGCACTAAAGGTCCAGAAAGTGCAGCACACCACAGCCCCCTGACGCGCGCGTTTCGCTACACCTAGCTCGTCAGAGAGGAAACAAGGGGTGCGTTAGCACCGGGTTTATAATTACAGAGAAATCACTTGATTGGTCCGAACAGGCAATTCCCAATTGGTTGCCTGAAATGACGTAACGGAAAACATTTGCGGAGATGGAATAATCTTTTCGCGTAAAATAATTAACCCATTGGCAAAAAAGAAAAGAGAGAAGTTGGAGATTCCCGTTCTATTAATATTGTAACCAATGGAACACTTATTAAATTTAAAACATCACTTTTAATAAATCAAGTTAAAAAGTCCCTTGTGGTTAAGGGCATTACACTCACTCTTATACTCAACACGTGTTTAAACACCACATCTAAATGTAAATAAATAAAATAATTCTAGGGTGTAACTAAACAATACTGTAATATCGTAATTGGATTACCAAGAGATGATCTAGATTATTGGCACTCCAATATAAGATGAATTATGCCCCGACTTCTGATAGAGTGGATTGCTAGATACTCCTATGCCTATACGTAAAAATGGCTTTTCAATCTGCTGGAACTGATCTTCCTCGGTACCTAATATAACATTGTTGCTGATTGCTGTTAACAAAGTTATCTTTTTTTGTAACAGTATAATGAAAGTGTCGAGGATCAGTTCAACAGAATCCACCAGCCTTAGATATGGCTAGATTGAACTGCATAGCTGCTTGTATGTTTGTATACTATTAAGCGTGGGAGGAAAGACAAAAGAGGGCACAGTAATAGACCTTCATACCCTCGTTTAACCTCTAGTTCAGTATTTGTATTCAAATAGCTGTATACCCTCTCCCATTAAGAGAATGTTTTTCTGATGAGCCGATAAGCGAAACGCGCGTCAGGGATAGTTAGGGTGGCGCAAACTTAGATGACAAACTTAAGATAGAATTTTTATGCCGATAAACTCTAGATGTAGAGAAGATTATCTTTTCTCATTATAGAAAGTATTTCTTCACCAATCTCTCCGAACTGTAGGGGGACGTGAATATAGATGAAATAACTCTCAGACAGCATATTCATGCCGAGTCGTTCTAGATTTAGAAATACAATTAGAGAGTAAATCTACTAGTCTATCAACACTACTCTAAATATTAGCTTTGCTGCATAGATCTTTTGACGTGGGATTAATGGGAGAGGGTATACAGCTATTTGAATACAAATACTGAACTAGAGGTTAAACGAGGGTATGAAGGTCTATTACTGTGCCCTCTTTTGTCTTTCCTCCCACGCTTAATATTAGACAAACATACAAGCAGCTATGCAGTTCAATCTAGCCATATCTAAGGCTGGTGGATTCTGTTGAACTGATCCTCGACACTTTCATTATACTGTTACAAAAAAAGATAACTTTGTTAACAGCAATCAGCAACAATGTTATATTAGGTACCGAGGAAGATCAGTTCCAGCAGATTGAAAAGCCATTTTTACGTATAGGCATAGGAGTATCTAGCAATCCACTCTATCAGAAGTCGGGGCATAATTCATCTTATATTGGAGTGCCAATAATCTAGATCATCTCTTGGTAATCCAATTACGATATTACAGTATTGTTTAGTTACACCCTAGAATTATTTTATTTATTTACATTTAGATGTGGTGCTTAAAAACGTGTTGAGTATAAGAGTGAGTGTAATGCCCTTAACCACAAGGGACTTTTTAACTTGATTTATTAAAAGTGATGTTTTAAATTTAATAAGTGTTCCATTGGTTACAATATTAATAGAACGGGAATCTCCAACTTCTCTCTTTTCTTTTTTGTCAATTAACAAGAGGTTAACCCCCATGGAGGTTCCTGTTACCTAAGGCTCCTTTCTTTCTTTTTTCATCCTTTCAAATAAATAATTAACCCATTGGTAACCAGATTGAAGTTTACAAAACCAATGGAGATATATAATACAGACTAAATGACTGCAAAAATATTAGTAATGAAAGCAAATTAATTAACACAATGTTAAATATGTTTGAATATATTCTAAGAGATCTAAATGGGTGGAAATAAAAATAAAACACCCATAAACAGACCTAAAAACGATCGATTTACATAAGGCATCATTAGAACGAATTATTGTAAATAAAAATCATACCATTCAATGGTCAGTAGTGTAAGTATGGTGTTATACAGGGAGCCACTTGGTCTAATGCTATAGAGGATAATGAATAATAAAAAGTGATCAACCTTGTATAATACATGGTGTCCATACATATAATAATATAATTGTACTGTCAACTTCATAATGATCTAAATAGACAGCCAAAAGACCGGCGACGGCTCCTATTGATCATAAATGTAACCAAAGGAGAAAGAGAAAAAATTCAAGGGTTTCTTGATAAGTCTCAGATAGAGACTTATCTGGATAAATGAATCCACTATATCATAGATATGGAATAAGTGATAATTAGTAAGCTGAACTGAAATAGTGTCTAATTTGAAAATAGGTCACTAATAATGGCTATGGAGATTATATTGATATATGAATGAACTATTCCAATTAATGCTCAATTATTAATGTATGAAGGGGGTAAAATTGAATTCCTCATTGAGACCATCTGGTGACAATGTCTTTAGAATATATATCCATCTGGACTCTTTCATGAGTAACATTTTATTAAAATTACCCTTCCTAGTATTTAAAGTAAGTTTTTCCAGGGCCTGGAAAGTTAGTTTTGTGGGGTCCGCCTCATGATAATTGCGGACGTGATTAGCTATTGGGGTCGAGATGTTCAAATTGGTGATTGAACAGACATGTTGAAGTATCCTCCGTTTGAATTGCTGGTAGGTCTTTCCTACATATTGTATACCACAGCAACAAGTGATTAAATATATCACCCGTGTTGAACTGCAGTTAATTAATTCTTTAACCGTATATTCATTTTTAGTCCTAGAGCTTCTGACAGTTTT